CGTCCTTCCTTTTTCTTTTCTACAAACTCTCAAGTCCTTTTAATTTGAATTTATAAGACCCCGGTATCGTAACGACCCCATTTGTCAAGTCAGAGACGATTCTCGCAACGGTGGTTACTAATGCGCCCGATCGGGTCTCAATCCCTGGAGCAAATTTTCGAGAACAAGGGATAGGGTCGCCGCGGATTGTGTCTTTTTGTTGTTCCCTCTCGACGATCTACGGGGACGTATTCTGCGGCTATTTTCCGGCTTAGTTCACCCTTAATTCCAAGGCTTCTAAATTTAGAAAGTGTTGTACAACTTGATCTTATTCCCTCTGGTGTCTCATTTCTTCCAGCCACTTGTTCGACTGGGAAGTCAAAGATAACACAATTACAAGTTTGCAAAATCGGTCAAACAATAATTAACGAAGCAAATACAACATAGATATTTAATGATAAATTTCTCAGGCTTATGCTAAATTCATTTCTCTTTATACTTCATGACAAAAAAAAATTCTATTGAAACTATCGCGGGCTTCCAAATATTTGGTTCCCATCAGCACACGCCGACAAAACACGAGCCTGATGCTATTAAAATTGTAATATTTGCTGTATGTTGGGTTGTCTATATATTATATTTTAAGTTGTAGTTTAATTATAAAATGAAAAATATAATAAATTAGCATCTCTAATTGCATTTAGATGGGAAAAATATAATTCGATAAAAATTCATTAATGTAATTCAATGAAACCACCATTAGAACAAAATCATTTAAAAAACTCAATACATTGAATGAGGTACTTTTAAGAAAATAATTAACGATTATAAATTTTCTAGTCTTTATTGTCTGTACAATTAAATACTAATTAATAAGTTAGGCAAAGTTCATAAAGAAAAATCCTTTTCAGTGGACTCCAGAGATTACCAACGCATTCGTTCCCAAGATTTAGAAGATTACAGGATATCGGGACTATCCTGTTTTAGTAACTGTACCCCGGCATCCCCTGATGATGTCTATTACTACTTGTGGACCCGTGAATACTATGACGAACCACTTTTATTAACTGACGAAACAATTGATCAGTTAGATATAACATTAGATAGTAAATTTATTATGCACGGCTGGAATGAGGGGTACAACACGTCTTGGATTGAAGCCATGAAGGATGCTTATCTCAGAAATAATATTTGCAACGTTATTACTCCAGATTACATCACATACACACTGTAAGAAACATTTAATATTATATATAAAAAAAGTATGAGTGCTGTCAGTGTACGATGTGTTGCATACCTATTTACAAACAAAAAACCATAATGGCCGACATCAGTAACAATGCGACAACAATTGAAAAAGAATGATGGCCGACAACTGCAACAATTAGAAAAGAATGATGGCCGACATTACGTCATAATGGCCGACATCAGTAACAATGCGACAACAATTGAAAAAGAATGATGGCCGACAACTGCAACAATTAGAAAAGAATTATGGCCGACACTACGTCATAATGGCCGAGTTCAGGGGGAAGAACTAATTTTATTTAGATTGATTTACTTTCTGTCTACTAATGTTTACGTTCTTTTTTAACAGTCGACAGAGTTTAGAAGCCTGTTGTTTCACGCCCTCCATCGCAAGTATCGTGGGTTATTTCATATATAATTTGCAAAAAACGAAAGGATTGAATTTAAAAAAATCGCATCTGATAGGGGCTTCTTTGGGGGCCCAGTTAAGTGGGATGGTGGGTCAGGCCATTCAGTATTACACGGATGGGGAAAAAGTAGGGCGAATAACAGGATTGGATCCGGCATTTCCCGGTTACGAAATTGCTCCTGATGATATGCGATTGACCCCAGACGATGGTGATGTGGTGGACATATATCACACTAATGCCGGAGAATATGGGTGGCCAACTCCCACAGGAACAGTCGATTTTTATCCCAATTGTGGGATTTTGCAACCGCAGTGTGTCCAAGAAACGGGTGAGCAAAAATATTAAGCATCCATTAATGCGGATGTTCCGCGTATTCACAATTTATATAATTATCCATCTTAGGAATTATTTAAATGTTTCTTTCTTTTGTTTTTAAGGTCTCATAGGTGGCCTCTGCAGCCATTCTCAGTCCCATGTTTTTTTCAACGCCACCATCTACTACTCGGACATATTCATAGGGGTCAAATGTGATAATTGCGAAGATTTCGAAGCCGGAAAATGTGACAACAACGAGAGAGCCATAGTAGGAGAGTACGTTCCTTCTAACGCCAGGGGGGTGTACTATACCAGGATTGGGACAAGAGACGTCCCTTACGATCCAAATCCGAGGGCTAACACTGCTGTTGGGCCACAGCAGAACCAAAACGCTGCAGCAAACAGGGGCAATTCGAATCAGGGTCAAGGGAGGAACAATAATCAACGTCCAAATCAACGACAGGGCCAAAGGGGGAGTACAAATCAAGCAAGAAGAGTTAACCTGGGCAGAAGGGGACAGTCGCAAAATTTGGTTTCAGATGGGGATGACAGATGGCAATTCTACATTAATTACAACAGCAAATAGACTAGTTGTATAAAAAGAAGTATTAATTTAAAAAGGGTCACATATAAGGTAAGCAGAATCTATACTTTTGGTAAAAGTTTAAATGATGGAGGGAAGGGTGGGGATGTCCTTACAGAACATTAAAAAAGGCAGAGGCATGGAGGAGGAAGTTGGAAAGGGACTGTCGGTTTCAAGTGAGAATAGGTAGAGGGAATGGACTTTTTAAAACACTAAAAAAACGTTTTAGGAGGGCAGAGGGTTGGTGGGCAAGGAGTGGATGTGAAAACTCCAATACTTAAAAAAGAAACCAATGTCTTCACTTCCACCATCTCTGCGCCCACTTAAAAACGACTTTTGAGTGTTCTACATGATCACCTCGACCCCATTCACACATATCTCTCCCCTTCCAACATAGGGCCCTGTTAAGTATTATTCAATTATCGTTTCCAATTTTCATCTCCAACCCCTGCGTCTCAATCTAAAGACTGTTTTACAAGGTCTTCCCCATCCCTTCAAAAAAACATCTTTACCTCCAAATCTAAGAACAGGCCTTTCATGTACAAAATTATCATACTTTATACTGCATTAAAAATATTTTTCTTATTTATTTATCTACTTACTGAGGTGGCATTTTTTTATAAAATGTACTTCTATATCAAGTTATTGTTCAATTTTTTGGACAGACCGCGTATAACAATAAATATTTGAGGAAAAAAAGCATTTTTCACAAAAATATCAAAATAATTCTCCCATTATCTATAAATTCGTCCAATAAGCACAACCAATGTGTTACAAAATAATAATAAATTAGCACAATTTACGTTGCAAATGTACATAAATGTAAATACGGCATTAATTAATAAAACAACCATATAAAAACGATTTACCTACAATAAAACATAATTAAACGAACCCAAAGAACATTGAAATGTGTTATTCTTATCCCATTTATCTCTACTTCTTAATATTCCTGTTTTATAATGAATGTCAAACAGTACAATTAAAAGAAGATTAAATACTTTATAAAATTATTTATTGCTATACATATAACCAACATTAAAAAGAACTTAATGTCTTTATAACAAAATATTTGTACAAATAATATATTAATAATGAAATGAATTAATTAAATTAAACAGTAGGTCTTATAATTTTAACGTTTCTCCAAACTTTTAAATTTTGCTTCCAATCTTTTCGAATAAGCATCTAACTTATATGCAGCCTGTTCTAATTTTGCTATGCTATCCTCTATTTGGTCAATTTGCTCAAGATAAGGCTGCAAACTATCACCTGAAACATTTTGGGATGAATTATCATAACAAAAGTTTTACAAAAACAATTACATTTCTCATTTAGTTCTGTCATGTTTTTGGAGATATTAGCAGCAATGTGTTTCATGTCAGTGTATTTTGTAACGGTGGCTTTGTTCATAGTCTCTAGGAGTTTGTATTCCTCTTGCGTTGAAGTCAGCTCACCATACAAATAATCTGATACTTTGGTAAACATAGTTGTTGCCAGTCGACTAAGTTTAGGGTCGTGAGGGTCTAAAGCTTCAAAACTAGATGTTGATGTAGATAAAGTAGGGCCTAGAAAATATTTTATTAAAATTACAGATGTTTGAAGGGGTTGCAGTATGATAATAAAATTCACTTCTTCTTGCTTCATGAACATGAAATTACAACTTTAAATGCAAATATTTGTTGTTTTTTGAAAATATGTACTATTTATTTAAAAATCGTTATTATTTAATAGATATTTTACATTTCTGTTTTACACAGTCACGTTTCTGCGTTCCATTTTCTCAATATTTAAACGAAAATATACCTTTTTTGGGAG